ATCCGCTTGTTCACTCCCTAGATGGATGCAATGGCCAGAGCTCTACTGATCCAAAGCCAGGAGCCAGGAGCTTCTTCCAGATCTCCCAGGCAGGTGCAGGGGACCAAGGTCTACTGCTTTCCCAGGCCATGCCATAGCAGAGAGCTGGATTGGAAGAGGAGCAGCCGAGACTTGAACTGGTGCCCACATGGGATGCCGGCACTGCAGGCGGCAGCATTACCAGCTATGCCACAGCGCCGGCTCCCGACTGTTGTGGGCGGTTCAGCTTCTCTGTCACGCTGTCACACAGGCTTGGTGTGGTGACCCCCAGGCCCTGCTGTGATGGCTTCCGGCCGTGCTGAGGGGCTGTCCTGTGCCTGTTTCTGTGCCCGAGGTTCCTGTGCACTTGGAGTTCTGGGATCATTTTATACACCCTTCTCCCTTCGCTCACTACTCCCATGTGCCTGCCGCTCACAGCCACATTTCATTCTAGTGTGTGCTGCCCGGTAAATGCACCTGCAGGTGCTTGGGGAGGGTCTTGCGCTCACTTCCCAAGGGCGAAGGGCCTCGGTCTTCACGCGGGAACCGTCACCTTCCACCCCGGGAGTCCCAGGAGACCAAGCGCCCGTCTGTTCTGAGTGCATTTGCGCAGGCACTGCACAGAAGTCTCTGCTGAGCTGCTGGCACCGTGCGGTTCCTGGGACATCCAGGATCCTGTGTGTGGACATCATCTTTTGTCTTTCCTGGGGGTGGGGAAGGGGGCATGTAGGATTTCCAGGTGTCGGGCTGTGTGAGCACCTCTGGGAAGGTGCCCGGCATCTGATGGGAGAAGCACTTTTTTTATGCAGAACCCACTTTCGTCAAGGTGACCCACAACCCAGGGGGTCACAGCTGTCAGGGCACACGGAACACGTGCTTGGATGCAGTCACAGTCTCTACCGTGTTCCCTGTTAAGTATCATCCCATGGGACCCGTCTCCTGTTCGCTTTTGGTCTTGCCTGCTACACGGACAGTCCCTGGGGGTTGTCTCTGCAAAGACCCCCCCTCAGCACCACCTCCCGGGCCCTCCCTGTGGTCAGCACTCCCAGCGGGGGTGGGGAGGCATGGAGGTAATTGTGAATCTGCATTGGCTCCCTGTGATAGATGCTGAATGGCTGTCTGGCCTTGCGGTGCAGGTGCAGGTGTGGTGCAGGTGTGGTGCAGGTGCAGGTGGGGAGGCTGCAGGTAAAGGCCCGTGGGCCAAAGTGGCTTGCTGGCCACGCCCCTGCCGTGCCAATCCCACCCCAGTGAGTGTGAGGGATGCTTCCTCTGTCCCAGGAAAGGCGAGTGGGCTGGGTCCAGGGCGTCAGCCCCCATGGGAGGCTGGGTGTGGCTGGCGAGTGAGGGGTGGGCCCAGGGCTGGGGAGTCCTCCATCTGCGAGAGCTGCAGAGGGGTCCCAGCAGCACCGGCTGGCTCTTAGCTTCCTGGGCCACTTTAACCCGAGCTCCCTTTGGGCCCTTATGGCTTTTCTTTAATTACTTTTCTGTTGATCATGATGAAGTCCACTTAACGTAAATATCACCTACTTAGTCCTTTTTAAGTGCACACTTCTTTTCCCTTTTTTTTTTTTTTTTTTGAGATTTATTTATTTACTTGAAAGGCAGAGTTACAGAGAAAGGGAGGGAGAGAGAGAAAGAAAAAGAGAGAGGAGAGACCGGCGCCATGGCTCAATAGGCTAATCCTCCACCTAGCAGCGCCGGCACACTGGGTTCTAGTCCCGGTCGGGGCGCTGGATTCTGTCCGGATTCTGGCCTCTCTTCCAGGCCAGCTCTCTGCTGTGGCCCGGGAGTGCAGTGGAGGATGGCCCAAGTGCTTGGGCCCTGCACCCCATGGGAGACCAGGAGAAGCACCTGGCTCCTGCCTTTGGATCAGCACGGTGCGCCAGCCGCAGTGTGCCAGCCGTGGCGGCCATTGGAGGGTGAACCAACCGCAAAAGGAAGACTTTTCTCTGTCTCTGTCTCTGTCTCTCTCTCACTGTCCACTCTGCCTGTCAAAAAAAAAAAAAAAAAAAAAAAAAAAAAGAAAGAAAGAAAGAGGAGAGAGAGAACCTTTCATTTGCTGCTTCACTCCCCAAATGGCCACATTGGCTGGAGCTGAGCCTATCTGAAGCCAGGAGCCAGGAGCTTCTTCTGGGTCTCCACGCGGGTGCAGGGGCCCAAGCACTTGGGCCATCTTATACTGCTTTCCCAGGCACATTAGCAGGGAGCTGGATCGGAAGTGGATCAGCCGGGACTTGAACCGGCGCCCATATGGGATGCTGGCACTGCAGGCAAAGGCTTGCCTCACTAACGCCACAGTGCCGGCCCCTAAGTATACAGGCGACCCTCCATACCCTTGGGTTCTGCATCTGTAAATTCAACCAACTGCTGCTTCCCTGGAGTATTTGGGAAAAATTTTTTGTGTGTACTTAACATGTATAGACGTTCTCTTGTCATTTTTCTGTGAAGCAATGCAGTGTAAGGAGTTTTTACAAAGAATTTACGTTGTGGCTGGTGCCGTGGCTCACTAGGCTAATCCTCCACCTAGCGGCGTCGGCACACAGGGTTCTAGTCCCGGTCGGGACACTGGATTCTGTCCCGGCTGCCCCTCTTCCAGACCAGCTCTCTGCTGTGGCCAGGGAGTGCAGTGGAGGATGGCCCAAGTGCTTGGGCCCTGCACCTCATGGGAGACCAGGAGAAGCACCTGGCTCCTGGCTCCTGCCATCGGATCAGCGCGGTGCGCCAGCCGCAGCGCGCCAGCCGTGGCGGCCATTGGAGGGTGAAGCAACGGCAAAAGGAAGACCTTTCTCTCTGTCTCTCTCTCTCACTATCCACTCTGCCTGTCAAAACAAACAAACAAACAAACAAAAAACAAAAAACAAAAAAAAAAAAACAAAAAACAAAGAATTTACATTGTAGCAGGTATTGTAAGTAATTCAGAGATGAAGAATGGTATATGGGAGGCGAGGTGAGCACGGGGTCTGTGCAAACACGATGCTACTTCAGAGAACCCGACTGGAGCTTCCTGGAGTTTGGTGTCTAGAACCAGCCCCCCCCCCCCCATCCAGGGGTGACTGCGTGCACATTGCTGGGAGCCATCTCCACACCTGTCCCAGTGTATAAAACCGAAATTCTTTTTGTTTGAAGATTTATTTATTTATTTATTTGAAAGGCAGAGTTACAGACAGAGAGAGGAAAAGACACAGAGAGTGGTCTTCCATCCGCTGGTTCACTCCCCAAATGGCTGCAATGGCCAGACCTGGGCCGATCCAAAGCCAGGAGCCAGGAGCTTCTTTCAGGTCTCCCATGCGGGTGCAGGGGCCCAAGGACCTGAGTCATCTTCTACTGCTTTCCCAGGCCACAGCAGAGAGCTGGATCGGAAGTAGAGCAGCCGGGACTTGAACCGGCACCCATATGGGATTCCAGTGCCACAGATGGAGACTTAGCCTACTACATCACAGTGCCGGCCCCCAAAGCTGAAATTCTATATCCATTAAACATCAACCCCCCCAGTCCCCAACACCGTCATTCTCTCTTCTGCCCATACGTACCTCACTTCTGTAGGCCCCCCTTGTGAGAGCCTTGGCAGCAAGCCCTTTGTGCCTGGCTTATGTTACGTTATGTTATGTTATGTCCTCCAGGTGGAAGGGCCAGCACTCCTTCTTTAGGGCTGAATAGTATTCTATTGTGTGTAAAGCCGTTACGGTTTTTAGCCAGGTTCTTCCAGAATCCTTGGTTTCATCTACTCCTCAGTTTCCCTCTGTGCCTTGTGTTGGGGGGATGGGACGAGAGCTAAGCCTAGCGGTGTGTACGAACCCGTCTCTATCCTAGCCTTGGTTCTGTGAGTGAGCTCCTTCTTTCCAAGACTTTATGTATTTATTTGAAAGGTAGAGTGATGATGGAGGTGGGAGAAGAGAGAAAGGAGAGAAAGAGAGAGAGAGGTCTTCCATCTGCTGGTTTACTCCCTAAATGGCCATAACAGCTGGATCTGGGTCAGGCTGAAGCCAGGAGCCCGGAGCTCCATCCACCACATCTCCCACGCGAGTAGCAGGGGCCCAGGCACTTGAGCCATCTTCCGCTGCCTTCCCAGATGCATTCGCAAGAAGCTGGATCAGAAGAAGAGTAGCCAGGACTCGAACCTGTGCTCCAATATGGGATGCCGGCATCGCAGGCATCAACTTAGCCCTGTGTACCACCACACTGGCTGCTAACTGTTTAACCTCTGAAGCTGGGTTTTGAGGGCCATGTCTGTCTTGGGGGATCCACTGCAGGTGGCCTGACAGGTTCGGCTGTGGCTGCAGGGAGGAGGCTCTGCCCCCTCGGCATCTCGCACGCAGCCGGCTTCACGCTGCAGTCACTGGGCATTCCACCTGCCGCGCGACGCTTACAAGTCCCGGGCAGAGGCAAGCACCAGCCTTGGACACACAGGTGGCCTGGGCACTTGTCCAGCTGCTCTCACACAGGGCTGAGCCTGATGCTGGTCTTCCCGATGGGCTTCTGTGCCAGGTGGCCTTGGCGTAGTCTTGGCTGCCACGAGCCTCATTTTCCCTTGCTCACGGCATTTCAACGGTGCTCGCAAAATCCCGTGCACGCCATTCTTGAAAGATGTGGGTGTGATCTCGGCAGTGGGAGACATGAGCTGCCTCCAGCTAGCCCCACACCGGCACTTGAACCTTGCATACCTCACTGCGGGGCGCCTCCTGAGGCCCCAGGGGGGGTGCCTTGGAAGTTTGGGTGGGTGTGTTGGATGATTTTGTAGGCTCTTCCTAAGGATCCTGTGAAGCAGGTTTCACTCTGTTTTATGGAAGTAAAAACCAAAGCTCAGAGAAGCCAAGATACTAGCCCCAGGCCACACAGCTGGTTGATGGCAGAGCAGGGCTGCCAGGTCCCTCCATGCTGTTCCCATCCTTTGGGCGGTCAGCTGGGCCCCTCGAGGTGTGTGTGTGTGTGGGCTTCTGACAGAATGGACCGTGATGGGAGTGTGTTGCTTTCCCTCCTAACAGGGGGCCCACTCTGCTCCTGCTGCGTGCCAGACCCCATGGGGCTCTCCTTCCTCCCCACCTACGGCTGCCAGAGTAACCGCACGGCCAGCGTGGCTGCTCTGCGCATGAAGGCCCGGGAGCATTCGGAAGCCGTGCTACAGTCCGCTAACCTTCTGCCGACCACCAGCTGCAGCCCGGGCCCGGCGGCCAAGCCCGCGCCCCCCGACGGCGGCCAGGACAAGACCCCTCCCACCAAGGAACAGAGCGAGGGCGAGAAGAGCGTATGAGGGTGCAAAGTGCCCAACCCGGCGCGCCCTCCCCCCTGCCCCTGCTTCTCCCAGCCTCAGCCTCTGCGGAAAAGTCTCCCGGACAGCAAGGAGTCGACACCCGCTTGTCCCGGGGCCTCTGCAGCGACCCGCGGCTCCCCTGGCGCCTGCAGAGTCGTGCCGGAGTTCCACCAGGGGGCGCTGTGTGGTCCTGGCTTCTTGGGTGACAGGTCCTGAGCTCACAGGGCGCTGAGACCCCTGAGGTTCTCTTCCAGATCTGGAAGTTTTTGGAGGGGCTGGAATTGCTCATCCATCACCCTTCCTGTCCCCACCCACTGCCCTCCTGGGCTACCTTGTGAAGGTATTGTCAACCCCAAGAACCACAGCTTGGGGCATCATCCTTGAGAAGTGGCCAGGGGCTGGACTGTCCCAGCCAGTCACACCTCTGTGATTTTACCAGGCAGCTGGTAGACCTCCAACATGCAGCACCTGCTGGCTTCCATCAGGATCCTTTCTCTGCTGGAGAATTTTGGTTGTGGGCTTGGCTGGGGGCTGAGAAGATATAGGGTGGGGAGGGTCTGCCCTAGGGACACAGGGTGGCCAGGGAGCCAGACTATTAGACACACCGTCAGCTCCACGAACCGGGGAGCCACTACTGTCACCCAGATGCTGTGGGCTCGGAGCGAGTGTGGCCTCCCACCGTGGCAGTGCCCAGCCGCCTCTCTCCTTGAGTGGACTTGCAGCTTGGTGGGAAGCTGACCAGTTGGAAAACAGCTCCCGGAGCTGGACAGGAGAGCCATCGGAAGGGACGCAGCCTCCCGGAAGTCGTCCGAAACAACCAAGCATCTGGATGAACTCCGGATCCTCAGATCCCTGGCATGGGGAGGGGGTTCCCAGCAGAGCTGCTTTTTGACTTGGGAGAAGAAAAAAAAGTAGGAAAGAAGAGGAGCCAGGAACGGCGTCCACGCAGACACGCTGCGTGGGGCAGATGGCTTCCTGTTGGACGAAGGGAGTTAGCAGCAAAGGGCCAAACCACGTTGAGGTTTCTGCTGTGGTCTACGGTGGCTGTTTTCTGCTGCGTGGACGGAGACCCGAGCATCAGTGTGCAATCACATGAGCGCACCCCCTCCAGCAGGGGCTCCTGGGAAACTGACAGGTGCGTGGCCATCTGCAGTGACTTTTGCTGCTGGTATGGGTGGCTGTGACGCCGAGGGTTTCCACTTCGGTTGCTGTCACCGACAGGTTCTGCTTCCTTTCGGGTCCCCTGCCCCCTTTGCAACCTCCCCCTGCCCCTTCCCCCAGAGTGTACTCCTTGTCTGCCTCGTCCCCGCCCCCCACCCCCCCAACCATGACTGCCCAGCGTTTTGGTAAAACCCAGCGTCTCCTTTAAGGCAGAGAGACCTGCTCCTTCCTCCTGCTGTATTTTGCTTGCCGACTCCCAAGACGGACCGATTTGCCAAAAAAGCGGCCAAGTGGCTTCCGTTTCCCCTGTAATCACGAATGTTCGGTTGCAACGCTGCGCGCGCCAGCCCTTCTATACCCTAACTCTTCAATCTAATTGTTTGATTAAACTCGTATTTCCTCCAGAAAGGTACATAAATAAGTGAACTGTTGGGCAAATTAAGAATACTTAACGGCATTGTATCTGAAAAGTAGTTACGCTGATTAAATTTTGTGTCCTTGAGGACTTTCAGGAAATTGCTTTTGATCGTCAATAACACAATTAAGTAAACTACACACACATTAGCATGAATAATTGATAAGAAATTATGTATTACCACGAAGCACTGATTTAATAATTCATGATGCGACACTCCAGTGACTGTGCAAAACTGGAGAACATCGAGGAGTCTGCCTGACGTGACGGAAAGAAAGAGGGGAAAACCAGCAAGCAAGGGTGCCGGGCGGTGACGCCGAGGAGTTGGTTCTGTTGTACAAAGGCGCAACGTGACTGATGCATGATCGTTTCTCTTTGTTTCAATACCCAAATAAACTTAGGAGAGTGAAGCAAACAGCCCGAGAGCTCAGGTCCTCTCTTTGTTTCTCTGGGCTCTGCAGCCGCAGAACGGGGCGGAGCCTGCAGCCTCCCATCCGTCCCCCACCGCGGCCAACACGCAAAGGGCGAGTCTTTCGGAAATTTCCAGAAGGCGCGCTCGGAGGCCTGGGCTCAGAACCTCTTAGCAGAGGGTTGGGACAGACAGGGCATCCCCTGGGCTGGCCAGAGCTTTTCCCATAAGAGACTGGCCTGGGAGGCTTGGTCCTTCCGCTCCAGCACCGACGCACGCGGCCTGGGCTGGCTTTCCTACAGGGCCCATCCCTGGCGTGGTCCTCCAGGGGGCGGCTGTCACCAAAGCCCTGTCTGCTGAAATTCAGAATTCGATGATGGAAAGACAGCCTGGCTGCAGTCTGGGAGGGAGGCGTGGGGCCACAGGGGTGGATTGATTGATGAATTATTATTATTCATTTATTAGTTGAAGCGTTCTCAAAAACATTCCTTAATGCACTCCAGGTTATGGGAAAAGGGCCTAGAAACCAGCAAAGTCAGGATGGAGCCCCAGCCCTGCCTCTGTGGGAGGGAGGAGGATCAACAGAGGGGGTTGGGCAGGTGGCCTTGGCACAGGGCACTGGGGGGACAGGCAGGCTCCCAGCCCTGGCCCAGGAATGCCCAGAGCCTGGCTTCTCCATTGCGGAGAGAGGTCTTCCTTGGGGTTCTGCCACTGTCTGCTTCTGCCTGGGCCTCTACAGAGGTCAGTCCACGTCACCCCAGAGATCAGCTCATAAGACGAGTTCCTGGGCCTCTTGCATGGGAGGATACAAGGCTCAGCTGTGCCCGGCGCAGAGGAACAGCAGTACAGGAGTCTGATGCTGTCCCACCCGCCGCGGCTTGCGCAGAGCCGGGGCTTGCACAGGTTGTTCAGGGCGACCGCAGCCCCGGGGGAGCTGCGAGCGCCATGCCCTCTTCCTGAGTCAGCCGGGTAGGCTGCAGGAGGCGTCAGGCCTCCCCATGGAAGCTGTGTGCTGAGCCCCCAGAAGGAGGAAGGCCTTTGAGGGCTTGGAGGGGCACCTGAGCCAGGCATGGGGAGCAAGGGGCTGACGTAGGGGCAGGAGAACAATGTCTTCATGGAGGCTGGTGGGGTTGCAAGTGGTGGGAGCCACAGGGCAGTGCAGGTCAGAGCCATTTAAGGAACAGGCCAGCAGGCGGTCTTATGGCACTCAGGGTGGCCCAGGCTGGAGAGCCAGGAGCCTGCTGGGACCCTCCCTCCTTTCTGCTTTTCCTTGGTGATCCCCTCTGCCTTCTCCCCTTCCCGCTGTGCCCCCGCAGCTCCGCCCCTCTCCTGTGGGGGGGGGGAGCCTGGCTCAGGATCCCTGTGGTTTGGGGATCCAACCAGACCACAGGGAGGGGTGAACATGATTGGTGCAGCTTGGGCTGCTCCTCTGGTCCAATCAGGGATGGCCAAACAGCTGCTCCAGCCTGGCCGGGCCCTGCCCTGTCCTGGGGAGTGAGCGCCACTCTCAGAGACGCAGGGCCTATGGCCACACCGCCAGCCTGTCTGCCCGCTGGGGCAGGCGAGACCCAGGGATACCATGTCTGTGTTGCTCAAAGACAGATGCCCAGGGCGGGGTGGAGGGGAGTTGGGCAGGCTCCTGGACCCAGCGGGCTTCCTGAGACAGCGACACTTTGGACTGATCAATCCTCCCCCAGCGCCTTTGACGAATACAGCTCCTGTGTGTGAACAGGAAGCAAGGCCCCTGAGCTGTGCAACACCTAGGTGGGCCTGCGAGCCATCCTGAAGCAGTCCATCCCTGTCCAGATCACAGCAGAACCCTGGCCTGCGCGCCTGGGCCCCCAGCGGGCAGTTCACTAAGTGCTGGCCTGCAGGCTGAGATGGTCTTGAGTCTTCACGCCCACCAGCAGCGGCCCCTCCCCGCTGAGCCCTACCCAGCTGCACCCTGGGTGTGGAGAAGTCGGGATCTGGGCGGGGAGGGCGTTCCAGAGAGCGTCTCTTTGTGGTAGAAGGCAGCCCCGCCTGGCGCCTGGGAGCATCCGGGCGCTTCTCTCCGCTCTGTGCCCGGGAGTGGAGCCTGCTCTCCATCTGCGCCCAGGCCTCCGCGCTGAGCCACTGACCTGCTGTGCTCATCTGCTTCTTCCTCGAGTCTGGCTGTGCGCGATGGGCCATTACCCTTTAGCATTCTGCCTTGCCTGAGACCGTAGCACCAGCCCTCCCGTCCGAACTGGCTGCATCCGGGACTCCAGGGCTGGGCACGGCAGGCAAAGCTGCTGCTGGCTGCCGCAGGGTTGTTGGTGGTGGTGGTGGGCGGGGGTGGGGCAGAGCTTGCCAGCTGTTGATGGCTGCCAACCCCGCCTGGGCTGTGCGTGGTGTGGAGCTGGGGGCCTGCCTGGTGGCTGCTGCCAATGGAGTGGGACCTGCAGCTGCAGCCTCTGTCCGGCTCACGTTGCACTCAGCAGGGGCCAGCTGCCCTTGGCCCCTTCTCCCCAGCCCACTCCCCGCCCCGCCCCAGCCCTGGACACCCTCCTGGGACACGGCTTGAGTTCCCCACACCCCTGCAGGATCGTGGTAGCCTGGGGCAGGGGCAGAACCACAGATCTGGGAACTGGAGGCCTGACCCTCTTAGCCGTGTGACCCCGGGAAAGTCGCTGTGTCTCATTTCTTTCTCGGAAATCCTAGTCTCCGACGCATCGGGGCGCAGGGCACGTGAAGGCTGTGTGTGGGCGGCTCTCCGGAGGAGGAGGAGGAGGAGGAGGAGGAGGAGGAGGAGGAGGAGGAGGAGGAGGAGGGCAAGGTCATTGGCAGCACACGGCCCGTCTGAGGCCGCATCCACTCAGCCTGGCAAAATGCAACCTAAGGGCAGAGAGGGGGGAGCCGCCAGGAAGCGCATCTCGCCAACCCTCCCCAGGGCTTTGCGTGCCTGCAGGCCCCCTCCCCTCCCAAGGTCTGGACCAGCTGAGAGGGGGCTAAGTGACTGTGTAATGGCCACATCTGTCAGCACTGGCCAAATGGCTTTTGCAGGAGTCTGTGAGCTAATGGCCCTGCAGCCGGGAGGGAGCCTCCTGAGTGGAGCACTTTATCTGCCCGGGCCCAGAGAACAGCTGCTTGGCAGCCCGCAGTCTTGAATTAGCGCCCCCTCCTCCCTGGCTTGCTCTGCACCTGCTGTCAGTGGCCGGCCTGGGGGTGGGGGGAGGGAGCCTAGCCTGGGGGGGTGTGGGGGCGGCCACTCACCAGACCTGGCCTTGGATTCAGGATCCCGCACCACCTGCTGGCTGTGAGGCCTTGCCAGGTTCCTTGCCGTCTCTGAGCCTTAGTTTTCTCATCTGTATAGTGGGGGCAGTGGGGATTAAGCAGGTTGAGATGCTGAGCCGGTTACTACTGCAGAGGAGCAACGGGAGCATCTCCCGGCTGCGGGGGCTGGAGGACCCTCGGCGAGGGGGGGGAGCAGCCCTCCCCCTAGATGCGGGTGGTGCAATGTTGTCCGTGGCCCTGGGGTTCCGAGTGTACTGTGGCCTTGCTTTCATCGAGTTCACCAGGGACAGAATGACAGTCCTGTGGGCGGAAGTCCAACGCCACCCCACACAGGAAGTGGGCTTTGTTCCAAGGGGCTGCATACTGTCACACATTCCCCAGTTACTGGATACGTTAACATTTTTTTTAATTATTAAAGGTTTTAATTTATTGGATATATATTTTAAAAGTTTCCGAAGTGGTTTATTATTTTAAATGAAAAATATTTTTCATTTTATTGGAAAGTCAGAGAGACAGAGAGAGTTCTCTTTGCTGGTTCACTCCCCAAATGCCTGCAACAACCAGGGCTGGGCCAGGCAGAAGCCAGAAACCTGGAATTGCATCCAGGTCTTCCATGTGGGTGACAGGGGCCCAGGTGTTTGGACCACGACCTGCTGCCTCCCAGGTGCCCTTCGGCAGGAAACTGCAATCAGAAACGGAGGCGACCCATTTCTCCAAAGGGAGGACTCCGGGCGACCCCTGCTCCGCTCTCCAGCACTGTGGCTGAGGTCACATGGTGGCTGTGTACAGGGTTTTAATGAGCACTACATGGGAAGTGTGGGTTAAGGGTCTCCCACATGGGTGGCAGGAACCCCAGCACTTGGGCCTTCATCCGCTGCTTCGCAGGTGCATCAGCAGGGAGCTGGCATGGGAAGAAGGCAAACAAGGACTCAAACCAGCCCCCAGCCTCCACCATTCCCCCGTCTCTGTCTCTGAGCCCCAGCAGCTTAAGCTCATTGTGGACATGGAATCATCCAGTATTTGTCTTTTCCTGCTGGCTTCCTCTGCTCGGCGGCGGCACCTCCCCCTCAGGCCACACACGCCACGGCGAGTGTTGGCATTTCTTTCCTTCCTGAGCCTGAAGGGTGGTTCGTCTGGGTTGATCACGTTTCTGGTTATCCGTGTGTCACCGCTGGACGAAAGGTTTGCTTCTACCTTTTGGCTCTTGTGAATGATTCTTTTGTGCCTATGGGTGTGCAAATATCGCCTGGAGATGCCGCCTTCAATTCTCCTGGGTATCTGAGAGAATTTCAAGGGTTTATTTTTTATTTTTTAAAAATATTTTTTGGCAGGGGTGGGCTTTTGGCTCAGTGGTTAAGTCACCATTTGGGACACGTGCACCCCACCTTGCAGTGCCCGCATTCCAGTCCTGGCTCCACTTTTTTTTCCTTTTCCTTTTCCTTTTTTTTTTTAAACAGGCAGAGCGGACAGTGAGAGAGAGACAGAGAGAAAGGTCTTCCTTTTGCCGTTGGTTCACCCTCCAATGGCCGCCGTGGCAGGCGCGCTGCGGCCGGCACACCGCGCTGATCCGATGGCAGGAGCCAGGTGCTTCTCCTGGTCTCCCATGGGGTGCAGGGCCCAAGCACTTGGGCCATCCTCCACTGCACTCCCTGGCCACAGCAGAGAGCTGGCCTGGAAGAGGGGCAACCGGGACAGAATCCGGTGCCCCGACCGGGACTAGAACCCGGTGTGCCGGCGCCGCTAGGTGGAGGAT